ATTCAGCGGGAGTGCTGAACAGTTGTGATAAGTTATGTGTTGGAGAGACTCCCACAATATGCAAGAGTGGCATATGGTACCTTATATAAACAAAAAGACAAAAACCCATCAGCTAGAGTCATCTTTGGGTATGAGGGAGGTGAGAACTTACTTGTATGTCTTGTAGGTTGAATCCATCAAGAGAATATCACAAGTGGCGAGCTCCTGTGCATTTAATACACAAACTTCTGGAGCAATGAACAGACAGGTCAAAGACCCTGATGAATTTCTCTGGTAAGCATGATATACACCCTCAGTTTGAAGTTTGTCGAGTAGAGCTTCAAGGGATGTCCGGTGCTGAAGGATCTGGTTACGAAATTTTTGCTTGAGGTTGTAGATATCGTGTGGTGTTGCTATGATAGTTGGGTCGGAAGCTTTCAGCGTGCTCAAGATAACTGAGGGACTGGCACCTCCTTTACACATGTCAATGACCGTTTGTTGCTGTTCATCCGTGAGGCGTCGTGCTCCTGGTATGTCGGCTAGTGTCTTTGAAGGTGGGTGATTGTGTGTATTATTGATTATCTTCACACTCCAATCAAGAGTTGTTGAGTTCCTCAAAATTTGACATGACCAATGGCAATTGATCAAGTGGCTAGACGTTTGTCGAATCTGATCTTCATTCGGCTGATAAAGACCTCCGTGTGTGCAGAACAAAACCACCTTGCGTACTTCATTTTTCTTGTTTTTTTTTGAACGTTTTCTTTTGAGGAAGTAACCAGAAGCAGTGGCACACTCTTGCAGTGCATCTTCAGCCTCTTCCAGGCTTGGGTAGACTGAGAGGAGGGCGTCCAGATTCATCGGTTTGGAAGGAGGATCATCTAAATCAGACAAGGTTGACTCTTGGTGGGTTGGCTGTGAGGTAGCACCTGTTAAGGAAGGGTCAATGACCATGGTGGTGGAAATGTTTATGTTGATATTGGTGCACATTGATTTGCATCAGGAGGCAAAAGACAACTTCTCAACTCTCGGGCACACTGTCGAGGCTGTTAGGTAAGCTGCTTAAGGCTACCTAAGCGGGCCTAGGGTCAGAGGGGGGGTCTGACTAGCAAACTGGGGGGGGTCGGAATAGCGCGATCCATTTTATATTCATTGAAGGTATTCAAGGATTCATGAGATCATAATCAGTAACAAGAAAAAAAAATTGAATATATAAAAAAATAAAAATAATGGTATATCAAGTTGGAAAATGGTTCTTAGGGTATAAATAATTGATTTTATGGTTCAAGAAGCTCAATTTGTGAAAGAGAAGGATCATATTAGGCAGCAAGAACTTTGATTATGAGGATTGATAAGAGAGGAGTGAAGGTATTCAGAAAAGAAGGAAATTTGAGGATGGTAAACAAGGGTATTATGGGTATAATTCATATGGTGTGGTCTCATTAGTAGGATTTGAGGATTGCCAAGATTTGTAGAATATTTTTTAAAGTTATTATTAAAAGAGATTGATTTACAATGATGATAGAGTGCAGATACAGTTGAAATCACCAAAGCTCTCTGACTGGTTTGGCTGGGGCCGGCCCCGGTCCGACTGGTCAAGGGGTTCAAATAACACCCACTTTCACCAAAAAAATCAAAAATTTGAGGGTTTTCACCAATTTTGACCAAACGTTTGGATTTTTTTGTGGTTTTTTCTGCTATATTTTTGACTCAACTAAGATGTTATGTATATAGCTAGTTATCTAAAGCCATGAAATCTGCCAGTATTAGGTGTACATCAGGCTCAAATCAGCTGGCGGTCCAACTGGTTGGGGTTTTAGATCAAGTTTTTTTTTGCAAAAGTGGCTGTACAGGTTCATGAGTACCATTTCTTGGTTCCTCTATACCTGGCCAGTTCAAAAATGGGCTTTTCAAGAAATATTGTGGCATAAAAAGACCAAAGTACCAGGTCAACTGCCCTGATTCTTCTTGCAGGGAGTCGGTTAGAGCCTAGAGGGCTTGGGTGATAACAACTGTAGATTAGTAATTGGACCAATAAAGGGTGAAAAGGGGCGAAAATCATAAAAAAATGGAGGTTTTCAGATAATTACATATGTCAAATCTTGTCAGATCAGGACAAGTAAGGGCTCAATCAACACAAAATGTTTAATTTCATAATGTACAACCTTTAAATCAATAGTAATGGAGGTGTGAAAATTTTATAAGGAATCAAAGAGAGTGGAGTGAATTTTGACTTTTGGGCTTACATACACACATGTAACAGCATTTACAACACAAAAAGCTTATGTTCTCAATCTTCACAACTCAATTTCTCATTAATCATAAATCAAAAATAGCTCATGTGATGCCAGAGATTGATCAGAATCACAAGATCTACAAGATGGGCTTTAGTAATAAATAATTGGAGGACTTTGGAAAAAAGTTATAATCTTAAAAATGGTTCCTGGCTATGAATAATAAGAAAAAATTACCTGTATTTGTCATAAGAAGATGTATCCAAGATTGATATGACTAAAATCAACAATTTCATAGCTTAAGTCATGTACTACATTGGTAATAAAATGATCATAAGATTGCAGATTTTTGAGGAAGTTATTGGATAGATAGCTTCAAATTTGCTTCAATCAAACATTCCAACAGTATTTGATCAATCATTTTATCAAAAAGTCTTTTCATTGTTGCTTCTTTTTCTTGGTAAGTCTTTTCTTTTTTCTTCTCTATCCCATTCATATCCTCTTTAAAACATTTTTCTCTTAGCTTGAGTTCATTTGCAGTGTACATACTTCAAAAGCAATTGATGATGAACTTGTCTTGATTCCCATTAGGAAAGCAATTGACAATATCCTCTTTCCATTCAAAAACCATTCATTGTTCTTCATTGACTGAGATTTATCATCAATCATTTTCTCAACGATTCATTTTTACTGAATTCAAAACCATCAAATATCATCAAATCATCCATGTATAGATCAAAATAAAGAAATCTCCAAAAAATTACTGGAGCACCAAAAACATAAACAAAACAATCAACCAAATGGGAAGCAACCACACCTGCCAGATGAGAAGAAAGCAATGAATAGAAATTAAGAAATATCATCTTTAATCTGATATTATCTCATTTATTCCTTTTGCTTTCTTTGCACTCCTTTACAGCCTTCTACAAACACTATTGGTATTTATTTCTTAACTCTCTTTAATCTTTGTCTTCTTCAATAAAATTATTCATTGTTGAAAAGGGATCTTGTAGGTGGTCCCAGGCCATTTACAAGAGGACTCAAGGGCCATTCTTGGTGTTTTTGACACAGTGCTCAATCCATACCAAACTGCCTTTTGCTCATGTAACCCATGTCCAAATATGTACAATCACATGAAAAACTACATAATAGAAGCACCAAAATTTCTACAAGCAGAGAACTGAAAAAATAACATAAAGGGACATAATTCAAGTTCTTGGAGCTCACATGCCCAAAATCACAAGTCCAATGTAAGCCCTGCTTCAAAGAAATATGTACACTTGATCTTTAATCTTCATCTTTTTAAACCATCAAGCCACATTCATGGTCAACAGAGTGTAAGACCATTTGTAAGGGCTGAAATCTTAAGGTTACTCAAGGCTAAGCTTGAATTCCAGTTTGTCAGTCATTGCCATTTGGCGACATGCCAATTTTTTTCAGTGAAAATCTGTCAAAATTCAATTGGAAACCAGTGGCCAAGAATCTTCCATCCCAAGCACAACCTGTCATGTAAGAGCCATTAAAAAGAAAACTGGTACATCACCATCTGGCCAAAACTGGCAAACTGGAATTCAGGTTTGAGTACCCTTATTGCTGTGTGCCCAAGAATCCTTCATGGCTCACACTTGATTTATAGTTGGAGTACTTGAACCCAAGGCAAATTGTAAGTAACATGATTGAAAATATTAAAACTTTTCATCTTATCCATCTTGATATCCTCTGTGATTTTTTTCACTTCTTTTAATAATTTCTCACCTTTCCATTCCCCTACATGTATCAGAAAACACATATTGACTTCTTTCATTTCTTTCTCTATTACATATCTTTGTTTAATATGCACCTTGGAAGTCAGTATCGGTTCTTTTCATGTGTGTGGTAATTTTTTTAATCCCTAACCAACCCAAAGAGTATTGTTTCAGTTAAACTTAAACCATGATTTAATTTTCATGGTACAACATTTTATCCTTCATGCTAAAAAGACTTATGTAACAGACTTCAATATAGATGGTTCAAATTTCAATCTTTTAACAACTTTCCTTGACTCAGTTTCCTTAAACCTTCGGGTTTGAAGAATCACAAGAAACATATATATCTTTAATTTCTTCCATTCATACACAAAGAGAACAAATCCGATAAAAAAAATTAAAAATACAATCCTTCAAAAGAGTTTTTTCTCAGTCTCCCATTTGGTATTGGAATAATGAAAGAGAGAGAGAGAGAGAAAGAAAAAAAAGATAGGCAGAAAATGAAAGAGAGATTGAAAGATGAAATGAAATCAAATGAAAGAAATCAAATCCCAATTTCATTCAACTTCATAACGTCCATTCTACTGAAAATCCAATTTGATACTTCCAAAAACCTTGTATTCCAAACACCTGATTTCCCCAAAAACAAATCTATACACAATATTATTAACATACCTGAAAAAGAAAAAAAAAGTTTATGTAGAGAAATATGCTTCATCATCTTCATCATTTTCATCACCTATAGAAAGTGCAGTAGATGTAGAAGGTGCAGTTGAATTAGATGTGGCAGCTTTATGACTAATCTGATCACCAGTACTACTTATAGTTGAAGGTTGGGTTGGACTAGTCGAATCTTGATCTTCATCTTCCTCTGAATTACTTGAACTTGTCATTAATTTCATTCGATTGGTTGCTCGAATTGCATTGATGGCTGCTTTCCATTTCCTTCTCGCTCCCCTGAAAACCCATCAAAAAAGGTTGAAATGAGTATCTTATTTTCAAATATCAAAAACTGAGAAAAGTATGTACCAGTTTTCTTTTAATCCTTTGGAGATATCAAATTCTTCAACCAGTTTTTGATCAGTATCAGTGATCCACTAAAATGTCAAAAGCAAAGACGATTAATTCACTTTGCGGTTGTTTTTGCGTTATGATAAGAAAGAAGTATTTACTTTATGATTCAAAGCTTGTTCCGCTGTTAATCGTTGTAGTGGAACAGGTTTGATCAAAGCGGTTACAAACTCTTTGGCTTCGGCTGAAACGTTTTTCCAATATTGGTGGTGAAATTCGATTTTCCCTTTTGTAGTTTCCTATCAAGAAAAAGTCAATATCAAGACTATTGATAAGATGAGGAAGAGAACATACTTTGATGAGTTCAGCACGATTTTCAGATCTGAAAGGTGTGTAACCACATAATAGAGTGTATGTGATGACACCTACACTCCATAGGTCAACTGGTTTACCATGTCCAATCCGATTGAGGATTTCTGTTAAAGGAAACAGAGAGAAAAGCATAAGTCGGTTTGAGCTTCGAAAAGATTCAGGTAGAGAAACAAACCAGGAGCAGCATAACCAGGAGAACCACACATAGCAGTTAAAACTTCAGTATCCGATTTCAATCGATGAGCAATTCCAAAATCAGCAATTACTAAAGTATCATCATCACCTTTAGATTTATATAATAAATTTTCAGGTTTCAAATCTCTATGAACAATATTATGTTGATGTAAATAATTTAAACCTTCAAGGATTGATTTGATGGCTTTGATTGCATCTTTTTCTGTAAATTTTCCTTCATCACAAATTCGATTGAATAATTCTCCTCCTGATGCTATTCTGTTGTTTGTTTCAAAAGTTTGAAAATCAGTTTCAAGCAAAAAAGAACAAGGAAGAATATAAACAGATTTGATTACTCAACTCGAATACTAAATAAAACTTATCACGAGATTCAAACCAATCAAATAATTTCACTATCAAAAAAACGAAAACCATCAAACCGAGAGTAAGTATCCTGCAGATCAAATCATGTATGTTCCAAAGTTTCAATGATAGGCGCGTTTGTTTACCTATATTAGGGTGATCTAAACCTTTTAATAACTTTGTTTCATCATGTACTAATTGCTCTTGACCATTCAAACTCCTATAAAATCAAATCAAGTTTTAAACTAGAATCAGTAAACTAAATCCACCAAAAGAACAATTGAAAGAAATCTAAAGTATATAGAAACCTGAACTTTACTTTTTCTTTATACACTTAATAGCTACTTCAACTCCTTCACGTTTGATCCAAATCGCTCGTTTGACAAATCCAAAACTACCTTGTCCTAAGATTTCTAAATATTTATATTCTTTTTTCTTGATATATGAATCTGGCTATTTAAATGAAGAAAGATTATGGATTAGTATGTATTTTTAGTCAAATGGAATGAAAATGGATTTGAATTTACTTGTCTACCGAACATCGTTTGAAGTGTTGAGTAATAGGTTCAGAATTGATTGAATGATTGATCTATGAATGGGTTTTGATGGTTGTTGTTCGCGTTGATGAGATTGGTATCTTCACTGAAGTTGAGATCGATAGAGAGTAAAGAAAGTAAGATCGAATGGTTCAAATTGGTTACGAAGGCGTTTTCTGCGGTTTTCTGTTGAACAGCTACAAACGATAAGAATGGTAATCAACTGATTATGTAATTTCCTGATTTGAAAATGGGTTTTTGAGAAATCGATCGATGTTTCCAGCGAAGGTGATGTGATTTTGAATTTGAGATTGTGTTTTTCTTTCTTCAAGCTTCCTAAAGTTTTGATTCAAAGATACTTGGATACTGATTCGAATATTGTAAATCAGATGGTTACTTATATATTATCTGAGAGACTACGATAGTGGTGATATGATAAATGTCACTGATAGCTAGAGCGGTGTCGCTCCCTATTTTATACTTTATAGAATTCTACACCATCGAGAGCCCTTTTTGTCATTCTGTTGATAAGGGTCAAGTTCATTTATGTAACTCTACAAAACTTTAAAATCTACTTCATACGGTTGCCTCGCTCGGTCGTTGGAATTCAATTTCAATTTAAGATCACATCCATCTAGGCCCTCGCCCCGTCCCCGAATGATTCGGGGATCCCCGAAGTTACCCCTAGGGGACGGGGGGCGATCCCCGTCCCCTATTTAGGGGACGGGGATCGGGGAATGCCGGGGATTCCCCGAATGGATCATGAAGAATCGTAGTCAGATGAGTCTTTGAAGTTCAAATGACTCCTAAAGGATCATGAACTCGGCACGTAGTGGTGAATTCGAATCAGATCGATCAAAGCTTAGAAGATCTCGAAGCACAACTATCAAAACTAGAACTGATCAGTTCACTTCAATCTCATTTCCAAAACAAAAGAATCACTTCAATCTCATTTCCACATCAAAAGAATCACATCGATCAAAGTTTAGGAGATCTTGAAGTAAAGCTATCAAAACTTGATATAATGTATTCCTTCATAATTGGATTGCATTTCAAGAAGTTAGAACAACAAAAAAAAACAAATCGGCAAGGTTGAATCACTACTCGATGAATTTTGTCTTTTGAGTCAGTATGATGATTTTTGAAGTGAATACAGTCGGATGAATTTAAATATCTGGGTAAAGGAATCTAAAAGTGAACGGATGATGAAATCCAAAAGAATTAGCTCAAAACGTTCAAAAATGATGATTCGATGAATCAATCATGATAGAGATTGGATTACTAATTTACAACCTAACTTTTTTGACATGCTTCCATTTTGAATATTTTTTTTGAGTGGTTTTTGAAGAATGTGAGGATCTAATGATCCTTTCCACTTGATCTTGTTTGAGGTTAGATGATATCGGTGAAGGTATCTTGTTGGGTAATGGACGATCGTTTGTTTTTTGTTCTGGGAAAATGCTCTATTCCCCGAAATTCCCCGATTGATCCCCGATCCCCGATTTCGGGGGCGGGGATCATTCCCCGACCCCTAATTCGGGGAATGATCCCCGACCCCGGTTTCGGGGACGGGGATCGACCGGGGCGAGGGCCTACATCCATCTCATCTTCAACTCTCAAACCAAATATTCATTTACGTATGACAAAACAGGACAAAGTTTGTTCAACTCCCCCGCCGACCCCAAGCCGGCCGGAGTCAGCGTCTTACAGTCAACTCTCTCTAATGGCATACAGTTTGGCGGGCAGTTTTCTTATGCATTTAGAGGAATATGCCTTTACAGATCTTGTTTTGGCTGGCAAATCCCATTTTGGCGGGAAAAAACCCTGTAAAAACCTATGCATTTAGAGGGATTATGCCCATAAGAGGTATGCCTTTATGGAGAGTTGACTGTACTACAAACTCGTACGCTACAGACATTGAGAGTTGACCCTTTTGCAGGGAAAAATCTGCACATTCCTCTGCACCATTACCTGCCAAAAAAGACCTCTGGACCAAAAAAAAATATTTATGTGACAGCCTTTTACGCAATTTTGATTCATTTTCATTAAGGGTACTCAAAGCAAAGTATGTAGCGCTACATACTTTTCGCTACATACTTTTTTTGGCGGGGACAAAGAAAAAAAATATACTTTTGGCCTCGCCTTCCCCGCCAAAAAAAGTATATAGCAAAAAGTATGTACACGTACATACTTACTTTGAGTACCCTTATTCTTAAGTGAAACTGCTATGGCATTACACACTATTGATGTAAAACAAGTTTTGTTGTAGAAACACTGTGAACATGTAAAACTAAAAAACTATGAAAACTAGTACATATACAAAGCACTTCCATAACAAGCTAGATATTTATTCTTATTTTCCCAGAAGACTTAAACAGAGAAAACAACAAAAAGTATCTCTAGCTTGATCATAAACAACCTTGTACTAAGCCAAATGATTGAAGTATTTGATCTTTAGATAAGTAAGGAAATCTCACAATCCAAATGGGTTTAGACAGGTTTTTCATATGGTTTTTTGATGTTGGTGTACCCTTATTCTTGATCTGTGAATACAGGAGCAGTTATGTACAGATTTATGATGTCATTTGATGTCATTGAAATTTTGGTGGGTTTTTGGGGAAAAAGATTGCCTGGAATTGTTTTGAAATTATTTTGAAAATTCTATTGAAATCCTGTTGTAGTCACTTGTGGTCTCCGGCCTGCCAGTGACTAGTACTAGTAGCTGGGCCAGGGGCTGTGTATAGCATTTTTTGAGCCTAGTGTTCTGAAACATCCGCAGCCTCCTCTTTCCATCACAACTATCAGTTTCAGTTCAGAACACTAGTGAACTTCCTTTTTCCCCAAATTCAATTGACAAACTTAAATCAAATGAATCTAAAAAACACCTCCTCCAAATCAGAACTCTATCCCAAATCAACTGATCCAAAACACCCACAACCCAAGATGACTCCACCTTTGAAAACAAAGTACATATAATTTTCCACATAATTGATCAGAAGTTGAAGATGTAATTTAATACGACTGATAATATAGATTTTTCTATCAACCCTTACTCATCCATTCTTAAAGTCTTCAATGTCCATTTCAAAAACTGTAAACCCCATCTTACCAGAGTCTTAGGAGCTCAGAGATCATCTATGTGTAGGATATTGCTAGATGATGCCCACAATCCAAACTTGTAGGTGCTACCAAAATAGGCCACAATCAAACCTACATGTTTGTTTCCCACAAAATTGTGCCTACATTGTGGGGTCTGGCGCTGGAATTCAAGAAAAAGCACCTACATAATTGATTTGACATATAGGTGCTAGTTTCCATTGCAGCAAAATTTGGTACTTTCACCTTCAAATCTATCATTTGAAAAATCCACTGTGGATGCTCTAAACCAGTATACCTGTGTGGTAATATACTAGTATCACTATATTGAAAGGAACAACAAAAACTAGTTACTAGAATCAAACACAAAGAATGACAAATCAAACACTCTGTCATCTCACATGGTGGACGCAGGTTTTGAATTTGGGGCTGGTCTGGGCGCTGATTCTGAGATTTCCAAAGGCCCACCTATAGTGGTGGCACTGAGGTGTGCCTCTGGCTGAGGCTGACTATGATAAGGTGGATTTGATTGTTGGCATCATATGGAAGTAGTGTATGGCAGACACTGGCTTTGATATTGGGGATGTGTTGCAAGTTGATCACTTTGAGATGTGATGTAGTACATTCATTGATGCTAAACAAGAATTTGTCACCCATAATCACATGGAACAGACCTAAACATAACATGGGCACACCAACCTCAAAATCAGGCCTGCCCAAAAGGTCTGCCCCAGGGGCTGGCCTTTTTCACCCCACTCACCACCTGACTGTCATCTTTTGAAATCTGTTTTTCATGATATCTGAATCCTTCTGGATCTACTTGACTCAATTGATGCCATATTTTTGGCACTGGTGGCCAAAGGGACAGCATCATCTGTGAGTTCAATTGGGACCAGAGACGTGGTTATGAGTTCAAAGGTGGGGCCTGTTATAGGACCCCTGATAGGCCCTGTGAAGGTCCATTGTTTCAAACCTCAAATTTTGGCCCTTTTAGCTCTGAGCAGATCTGCTGACTTTTGCCCAAAATCCCATTTTGGCTCCAATTTGACCACATACATTTAACAAGTGCACCAAATTTTGCCTAATTTGGCTCCAGGGAGAAAACAAACATCTGGAACTTGGTTTTGGGCATTTCAAAGGCCTTGGATGAAACAACAAAATCAGAGAAGAAGGTTGAAAAAAGAATTCAGAAAGTCCACAGCCTTTGGACATTAAAAAACCTTGTTTTCATTTTTGTTTTTTGGCGGGTTGATGCGGAGCACAAGATTCAAAAGTTTCTTGTTGCTTGACACAAATTGAGCTGATTGGTATTAGTGAACTCATAAGTATGGTCCTTTCCTTGCATGGCTCTATATGAAATATGTACCAAGAGCTTATATCAGATTGACTGTGGTGGGTTCAGACTTTTCTTTCTAGTTTAAGTGAAATTTGCTGGATTATACACACTGGATCCCCAGTGTACCTCCACATTCCAATTACATGTCCCTTGGAGTTTACTTCCATTCTTCTGAAGACCACAATGGCAAATTGAATAAAACAAAACTCCTTTCTTTGTTATATTACAGATACCACACAGGTTTCAAGGACATTTGGAGAGCATTGTATCCATGTCACAGGGTTTGCTTTGGCTGGTGAACATTCCCTTGTGACTTTGTGGAGAGTAAAGGTGTTTAAAAAGGTGTTGTCTAGGTGATTCTTGCGTTTTTGGATGGACTGAGACTGTGGCCAGTATGAATGCATGGAATTGCTCTGTGGAAACAATACACATAAAATTTTGGAATAAAAACCGGTGGTTATGGCTCCAAGGGCACAATAACCTTAAAAAAGAAAAATCCAAAAATCCAGCTTTTTGGCTCCAGGTTTCACAACAAAAATATTTGCTAAAAATTGCATTTTTGCTCCAGCAAGACAATGGAGCTTTGGTGGTGCTATCAGGGGTCCTCCTGTTATGATAATGGTGAAAGATGTGTCAAGTCCATCCCAAATAGGCAACTGATGTGATGACAAGGATCAAGAGGAGAAGAAATGGTTTCACTGGTTTCTAAATTGACTCAGTTCATTGCTTCCTGTTCTGGTATAGTACATGTTTGAGTATGCTGAATTGAGCTGTGTATATGTCTACTTTGGTCTTGTTGTCACCCCTGACTTCAGAAGTGAAAACTGTGCGCTGTAGAACTTATAACACAACAAGGGTTATACAGAGCTGGAAGAGGATAATCTACTAATATAATGACTAGTAGAAGTTGTCTGAGACTGCTCTTCTAAAACAACACAATCAGGAAAAGGGGACTTTGTTGTAGAGTACTGAAAAGGCACCAGAGAAATATATCTTTCTAAAGGACAAGCCACACAAATTTTATCTCAAAAAGCACAATTTTTATCACTATCAAAA